ATTCCTTCCCAATATCCCATCTAACCCCAACCTCTGGCAGTGGGAAGCCATTCCCCCTTGTCCAGTCACTCCAGGTTCTTGTTCCAAATCCCTCTCCAGCTCTCCTGGAGCCCCTTTAGGCCCTGCAAGGGGCTCTCAGCTCTCCCTGGAACCTTCTCTTCTCCAGGTGAACACCCCCAGCTCTCCAAGCCTGGCTCCAGAGCAGAGAGGAGTTCCAGCCCTCTGAGCATTTCCATGGCCTCCTCTGGACTTGCTGAAGCAGCTCCACATTCTTCTGATCTTATCCTTAGATGTTGTATGGGAGAAAATCCAAAGCAAGTCCAAAGGTTACTGTACAGATGTTCACAGAGATGGATGCACATGCCATGAAAAGCCACTTCCATTGAAGAAGTGGAGCTGAGGTCACTTCCAGGACCTTTGATATTCCTTCCAAGAAAGGTAAGTGAGGAGAACTGCAGATTTTGTGAACAGCTACTCGGGAAATGAGAACTCATTTTCCCCAGAAAAAGCTTACAAAGCTGCCTAAGTGAAAGTGCTGATTCAGGCACCCTTATCTTCCTCAAAATACTGAGGGGGAGGTGCTTTTAGCAGGATTTCCATGGTTATCCCCTAAATCCTGTGGAACTCTGAGTGCTCAGACATGGGGTCACCTGCACCAACAGGTGGCTAATTACTTCCAAACTGCCATTAGCATCCTGTTTGCAGCCATGACTTATTCACCTATTAAGTGTTTCCCTGGTGCCTATTGCAAAGTGGTGCCTTTCTTCAGCTGAAAAGTGGCTTTGGACAAACAGATCATCTCTGTGTGAACCAGCTGAGATCCCTCTGCTGAGCCAGAGGAGGCTTCTAAAAGATTTGCTGGAGCAAAAGATTTGGAGAGGTAACAAGAAAGTGCTTTTCTCCTTCTTTTCTCATCCCTTCACTTTCTTTCAGGGAAAAAATCCCAAATTCACCCTGGTCTGTTCCCTCCCTCCATGAGTGATTTAAACTGCATGTTCCTCATGGGAGGTTGATTTTCTGGTGGGGTCTAAAGCCTCAAAGCATTCCCTTGAGCTCAGCTAGGCAGGGGAAGACAGGTGAGGCTGAAGAAACAGGAGAAGTTGGGTGTGAAACCAGCACTCTCTCATTGCAGACAACAGCATTCGCCCCTTGGGGTGAGCCAAGCTCCTTCCCAAACCTCCTGTTTCCTTTCCACAATGGGCTACAGGTGACAGAGCTCATGAGACTTTATCTTATTTACATTATAATAAGTTCGCATTCACGAGGACAACTTGGCTCAACTCATGGAATATGAGAGCCCTGGTGGCTGGAGAAGACCTTCCTGGCACCCAGGGTTTGTCTGCTGTATGGGTGTGCACAAAACAAGGGCAATCAGAGGCACAGCCTGTGTTTTGACTGTTTTCATGTCCTTTCCCATGGTTCCAGGGTCCCCATGTCCCCTGGCTCTTCTCCCCGCCACAGCTGTTGCCTCTCAGGACTGAGATGGTTTCATTCTCAGAAAAATAAAATTCCTTGAGGACAAACTTGCAGCTCCCAACCTCCCTAGGGAAGGGAAATTTGTAATGGCTTCCCACTGCCAGAGGGCAGGGTTAGGTTGGCTA